ATTTTACGTCGAATCCGCAAAATCGACGTAAATTTACGTTGGACATTATGACATCCGACGTAAAAAAGTAGGAAAAAAAAAACATAAAAATACCAGCAGAACGGCCCGTTCTGCTTGCAGAACAGGCCGTTCTGCTTCCAGAACAAGCCATTCAGCTTCGTATAACAACCCAAAAGAAAACGCCCACTACCTATACAAATAGAACAACCAAAAAATTAAATAAAACAGATAGCCAGAGTAGCAATGCGAAGTAGAAAAGTGCTAACGAAACCTTGATTCATACTTGAGGAGCAGTAACAATGTGCAAATAAGTAACAAAGAGTTCATCCCTCTGCAAAAGACAAAAAAAATGATTCAGTAACAAAGGAGAGGGAGAGGGTTCAGAGAGAAAAAAATGAAAAGTGATGAAGAGTGAATGCGCGCGGTGTGCCTCGCGCTTTCTTATTCAAATTTGTGAACTTTTTTACGTCGGACCTGGTAGGGTCCGACGTAAAAAGTTCAATCTACGTCGGAGGTGTGTTGTGTCCGACGTAGATTGGACTTTTTACGTCAAACCCTACCAAGTCCGACGTAAAAAAGTTCGCAAAAATTACAAAAATGTCACCGCATTTTTTTTACGTCAGATTTTCGTATTTCTAACGTAAAAGGGGTGACGTAATATGCTAATTTTCCACTAGTCATGACTACTTGTTTCTAAAAATGTAGGTTAGTGTAACTAAATCTTACAAAATTAAATCAACTAATAAGGTAAGTCTTGTCTCTCACTTATATATATATTTTGTTTGTCATATTTTTTGTTAATTTGAATTTTTTTTAATATTATGGATAAAAAAATGTGATTTAAAATGAAAATTCTATTATAAGTGATTAATCATTTTTTTAATAAAGATTAGTCATTAACGAAATTAATAAATATTTTATATTATTCAAAAAGCAGATCATGGATAAGAAGTTTTATAACATTGGTTGGTGCCTCTCAACAATTTGCAATAGTTGTGGAGGGAAAAGGTAAAGATAGCTGGTGGATTAGGGCCGAGCAAAAATGTCAAAATCGACTGAACTCCTAACTAATTGATAAAAGAAAAAAAAAATATCCATGGGTAGATTCAGAAGATTAAATGAGTTGTGACATGTGTATAAAATAGAAGAATCGAGGGGTTTTTCCTATAAATAACCTAATATAACCAAATGTATTTATAAAAGGCCTAAAAACTATGACTTAGTCAACTAATAAATTGAACATACTTGATCGAACAAACATAAATTAATAAATGAGGACTAATTGCAATCTTTGAAAAGTAAAAGTTCTTTTACTTTTACCAATGTTTTTTGATCTTTCAAAATTTAATTAACCGCTAAAAATGTATAATTTTGTACAAGTGAGACCCTTTAATGAGTTTTGATTTTACCCTATTGATAGAAGTTTTTCATTCACTTTAGTATTAATATTGATGCCGAAAGATTTGTTTGGTAACCATTTTCTTTTTGCAAAGCGATGTTGAAGCTCCATTTTTTTTTCTCATTCATTAACTATGTTTCAAAAGATAATTAAAGGTACAATTTTTATGATTCAAGTCCTATTTTTTTTCTCACCCACCTCTTTCACCCATCATTAGTTTATTCAAGCTCCATCTTTGTATCCATTACTCCTTTATTGCTACATTTTGTCTACCTCAATTTTGGGGTTGATTGACCAATTTGGGGTAATTTTTAAAATTATTTACGTAAATGGGACTGTTTTGAAACTATTTATACTTTTGGAGCTCTTTTGTACAGTGTAGCTATGGCCCATTGCGACATACGTGCCACGTGTAATTTTTTTAATTTTAAGAAGCCATGAAAGCTATACCGTATGGAGGCCGACTGAGCCGAACACCCGAACGCAAAAACCGGGTCGAACAATCCGAACCCGTAAGTAATCAGGCCGACCACCCGCACTGTAACACATCTAGTCCGAATACCCGAGTCTGCCGACCACACGTGAACAGATAAAACTCATCGGTGTGGTCGGCCAAGCCCAACACTTCTGTCAGGCTAATTATGGAGAGATTAATTAACATAACGCATCGGATTAGCTCCCTAATTTTCCGGGGCTCAATCCTTAATCACGGCCCAATACGAGTACCTATAAATAGAGTTCTAGCGAGGTATGTAACTAATTCTGAACTACCGCATTTATTACGCCGAGAACTAACTTGAGCGTCGGAGTGTCTTTGCAGGCACACCCCACCTCGCTTCGGATTACCCGGACAAGAACAAGAAGACCGAGACCCGACCCGTGACAAGATAATTGAAGTGTGTATCCTAATACAGGAACAAAAGTCATATTATGGAAGTCGCTACAGTCAACAACGACCCAAAATGGCTTTAATGAAGTCGCTGTAGCCTATAGCGACATCCATTAAATATTTTTTTTATAAAATAATTTTTAACAAATATAATTTTAAAAAAATAAAATTAAAAATATTTAAAATTATTAAACGAATAAAACATAAATTTAAAATTAAAATATGAAAAAAAATTGATAATATAAAATGAAATAAAAGAAAATAAAAAAATAAATTTAAAAAGGTGGTCGTTGTGGCCTATAGCGACGCTATGGCCTATAGCGCCACTTATTAAATATTTTTTTATAAAATAATTTGTAACAAAAATAATAAAATAAATAAATTTAAAAATATTTAAAAAAAATGGAATAAAACAGAAATTTAAAACTACAATTTGAAAAAAATTGATAATATAAATAAGAATAAAAGAAAATAAAATATATAATTTACTGAAATTAAATAATTTTTTGTAAAATAATTTACTGGAATGTTGAGTATATAATAATTTTTAACAGATATATTTTATTTAAAAATTGTGTATAGTGTATAATAAAAAATGAAAAAAAAAATTTAGGGACAAAATTTATTTATATAAATGGAAATAGCATAAAAAATAAAAATATGAAAAATATATTAAAAATAAAATAATTAATAAACTGAAGGAAAATTTTTTTTTTTAAATATTAAAAATATATAAATTAAAATGAATATATAAATGAAGGATTTGAATGAAAAAAAAATTAAAAAAACAGAAATATAAAATTAATATTTGAAATAAATTGAGAATATAATAAAATAAATAAATAAATAAAAACAGGTCGCTATGACTTATAGCGAGGGGCCATAGCGCCTCCTTCGTGTTTAAGAAGTCTTTCTGCCCAGAAAATTTGGTTTTGAATCGCAATTCGTCCGAAATCAAGTAATGTAACTAGAACTTGGCATTTGAACATGTATGGCTTCAATTTTCAATTTTGTTATGCCAATTTATACGGACCAACACTGTGCTTAGTAATGGGTTAATAGTTGATACGCACTAGGTTCTTAATTTAGATATCAGTGTAATTATTATTGACAAAACATTGCTTAAAATTAGAAAAAAATAACGCTTGAAACTAAGTCCCTTTACAGTCATAATGATTTTTTTTTCATTTCTTACTTATTTTTATGATGGAAAAGATTAGATGCGTTAAGTTCATAATATAAAATAAAATAATAAATTAAGAAAATAAGTAAATAATTTAAAATAAAAAAGAAAATAGAAGTCGCTATAACCTATAGCGACATTGTGTCGCTATAGCCTATAGCGACATTGTGTCGCTATAGCCTATAGCGACATTGTATCGCTATAGGTCATAACGCCTCCTTTGTTAAATATTTAAAATATATAAATTAATAATTAAAAAATATACTGAAGAAAAAATGGTTTAAAAAAATATTTAAATGATATAAATTAAAATTAACAAATCCAATGAAAGAAAATAAATTTAATATATAAAAGAAAATATTTTAAAATGAATTTATTATATTTTTAAAATAGGAATGTAGCCCATAACGACTTTATGAAAATCGCTACAGCTTGTAAAGATTTCTACCGGTTAAAATTAAGCCATTCACAATTAAAAAAAAAAAAAAAACACGTGTCAGGTATGTCGCTATGAGTTATAACGATACTATACAAAAAGCCTCAAAAGTGTAAATAATTTCAAAACAGCTTAAAAACTACTCCAAATTGGTGGCTCAGCCCAATTTTGGCCCCATGGGAAACATTGATTGTATATGACACATTTCCTTGAATCATCCCACAAATTAAAGAACGTTCAGATTTACAAGGTTTGTGAAATGGAAAGCCTAATATAACCCACCCACTAGCATCTGAACCTGCTCAATCCGAATCCAAACTAATCCAAAGGCTAAATGAACAATAACACATCTTATATTTCAGCATTTCAATTTTTAACGAATTCAACATTCTTAATCCGAACCAGTCTAACGATTACCCCTAGGTGGATGATGAACATGCCTCACCTCAGTCACAGTAATCCATCTTTTGGACTGAGGCCATCGAGCTCCTTGGCATTTACACCTCTTACTTTGTTGCCAGAACTACGTATGTATGATCATACTATACAAGTGTGCCTTGATTAATGTATCTGATCTGAATTGCCTTATGATATGGTAGTTATTAGCGTGCTCTTAAAAAAAAATATCACTTTTTTTATACTTTTTATTTATCGAAAATGTCAAATTATCTAATAGAACAAGGGGAAAACAATCTTTTTCAATAGTTTCGAAAAGGAAAAAAAAATATTCTCCTTTTATCTTCTTTTCTATTCCATTTTTTCTTATTATTTTTTTCATCTCTTTTTTATTTCATTCCATGAACTCTATTTTGAGGTAATCGTATCTCTTGTAAAAATATGTGTGAAGATAATATGAAATAATTGGAATTCTAATTATGGCTAATTAGAAGAGAAATTTTATAGTATTCTAAAAAATTTAAGGACTTAGACAAAATTTTCTCCCTCTATCTTTTATGTGTTTAACAAACTCACTTAACTATTGGTCAAAAAGAACAACTGAAACAAATCTCTTTCTTTCTTTCTTTCTTTTTTTTCTCTCTTTATAATTAGACTTGTGTTGGAACTTGGAAAAATCTCCACGTACACCCTTCTTAAACGAACATTCTGACGGTATTAAACCAATTACGTACAATCCTGGCAGATCATGGACATTGAATCTTGCAATACAGTTTATGTTCATAGAAACCAAAACCAAAACCAAAACCAAAAATAAATGACATGACAGGAGCATGTTACAACCTGATATGCATGCAATACCAAGACATAAAGAGATTAATTAATAAAGGTGAAAATATGAGAAACCATGAACAGTTCCACAGAGTTGACATCATATAATCATAAGCTGCGACTGGCAGAGATTTAATTTTCTTGTTCAATTTCAGAGCCTGCTAGATCATCATCATGATCAAGGTTGCAGCAGTCATTTCCATAAGCCGTGTGTCCATATCCAAACGCCTTGATGTGATCTTTAAGAGATCTTTTGTGCTTAAAATCGGAGCCACAAGAGCAATACCAGCGTTTGCCACAGTTCTTTTCATGAGTTCTCCAATCACCCCTCACAGCAAATGTTTTGCAGCATTTTCTGCACACGAAAGGCTTTGTTCCGTGCTTTCTCTTGTAATGCGTTTGAAGGGTTCTGAAGTCTTTGAGTGGCTTTGCCCTTGGATGGTCGATGTTGTTCTTGCATCCTGGAGCACAGCAATAGCAAGGGAGTCTTAGCATAGCTGTTGGTTGTGTTCCTCTTAGAGACTCTGGCCCCTTCCTATATTGAGATCCATGCCCCCACATATGCATCTGTAGATTTTAATTTGCACTAATGTTACTACCATGTAGGAGAAAATAATAATTAGATGGAAAAGAAATGAAAATAAAAAATAAAAAACCTTCATCTTAGGTCTTTGATTTCTTGCATGTAGTTTTTAAGGACTTTGAAACTGAATCATTTTACTATGTTGGACATGTTTTTGAGTGGGCTCATATATAGAAGCCATGCTTGGAGTTGTGTTTTGAGGGAGGAAGGAGGGAAAGATAAATATATTATTTTTAAACAATAAATAAACATGTTAAGAATTTACAGTTTAATTTATATTAATTAAAAAATATATTAAATTAGAGAGTATCTATTTAAAAAGAATAAACGTATACTCTCTTTCCCCTCCTAAACATAATTCCCAAACGTGCTAACTGGGAACATAACTACCTCCTTTCCCTTTTCAACAAGTTTTAATAGTTCTCCAGCAACCACTGTATCTGGGATTAAAGAAATAGGTGACACCGTGATAGTGTAGGGCATCCTGTTAAAGAAAAGGCTCAGGCGCTCAGCAAGAGAATATTAGTACAGTCATTTATATTTATATTCATTCTTGTGAAACTCAATTGATGTTGTTTCAATTTATGTCTCCCTTGTCGGTGTCTTTTTGTATTTGGTATTAACTAATTAATGAACACTTAATTAACGTATCATGGAGAGGGAAAATAAAAACTTCATTTATACAACCTTGCTATTTTCTTGTTACCAAAACTTGAAGGTGCAAATAATTGAGCCATACATTAGGATACTAATCTTCACGGATGTAATGAGATTTTTCATTTTTATATTAACAGAAAAAGGGCATGATAGATCGAGTAGTTTGGAGCTCAAATAAAAGGAAAGGAAATGCAACAATATTAAGTGGGAAAACCCTAAATTAATTTATATAGACACTCGCTCAGAGAAATCTCCCTCCTTAATTTGATGAATTTAAGTCAATGTTACAGGTGATATTTTGAAGTCATACTATACATAAAATTAAGAAGAGTTCAACTAAAGGACGCGCAAAAATAATTCTTTTCTTATTGAAAATACGAGATCTGAGAAAGTAGGGGGCATAAGAGAGGATAAAAAAACAGGAAAAGGAGGAGGAAAAGGAAAGATATTCTCTCTCTCTCTTTCTTTCTATAATTCTATTAACCGTTAATTCTCTTTAATATTATTTTATTATTCTCCTCGATGGAGGGAAGGGGAATTGATGATCAAAATGACTAAAGGTGACAAACCTGCATGTTGTTGTATCTGTTGAACGTCTTGAAACAAAGGGGGCATGCGAACTGTGTAGGACCAATTAGAATTTGAGAAGAAGTAGGGATCCAATATTGCCCTCTGTTAATTCTATTTGACAGAAGACTAGAAGCATCAGTGACTTTTTCTTCTTTGTGTGAAGCCTCTGTTGAGTATATGCTTGAAGCTAAATCAGCACTAGCAGATGCACTCGTGCTAGGAAGCCCTAAGTGTAAAACAACACTATCCTCTTCATCCAAACAGCTAGATGAGGTACTTGGTTCTTTCTTTTTCTTGTCCACTTCCATGGCACTGAACGAAGATTCAAGATCTTCTTCTTCAGCATGTCTTGGATGAAAGAGGGGAAGGGCTTTTCTTTGAGGAGAGGGTTTGAACTGAGTGGAAGATATGCTTGTACTTGTGTGGTTATGAAAATAGAATGGTGGAGTACTCTTGGAAGGAGATGATGGAGAAGGAGAAGTGAGAAGACATGGTGAATTGAGGTCCAACCAAAAGTTAAGGTCATTGGAGGTGTAGGAATTGGTCATGATGAGGGGTGGAAAGAAAAGAAGTATATGATCAGTTGAAGAAAGGGTTAGGTTATTAATTATAGACAACTGATGAGTAGACAGAAAGGAAATAAAGGGAAGGGGTAGTAGAGGAGGGAGGGTAAAGGTGAGCAGAAAATAGTTTAGTGAGATTTTAAGAAGCAAAATAGTCACAGTGAAAGAGTTAGGTGAAGGGTTAAAAGATTGGAGAAATTAACTCAATGTTGGTAAAGCAAGACCAGTAAAGCGGAGGGAGACAAGAAATCACTTGGGAAAAGGTTGAGCAGATTCAATATAAAATTTTATGGAAATTATTGTTTGGTGTAAAAAGAATGCACTTATCATTTACTTTTTCATAACCATGATTCGTTTGAAAAAAATAAAATAAAATGGGATACGAGTGCTGTTGCGAACGTGTTAACGATCTGATATTAAATTAACTTGGGAAAAAAAATTCCTTTTTTACACAACAATAATAGAATACATAAAGCAAACACTATCAAAGAAATAGGATAAGATCACACAAAATTTATTTAACTTAGTAGATTGTATGCTTATATTGATGGAAATATTTATTATCTAAAAAATGTATTATATATATGTTTTTGAAAATTATTCCTTCAAATTTTGTAAGTGAAACTTTAAAATCCTTCCTCACAAGTTTTATGTGTATAACTTGAAAATTTTTTCTTCACATGTTTTATAGCTGAGACTTGGATAGTCCTTCCACAAAATTTTTATTAATGAAACTTGAAAATTCTTATAACTCCCTCTCTCATTTAAGGTGGTCATTCCCTCTACAGGGCGAATAATTTTTCAAGAATTTCTATTTATTGACTTCACATCACAATAATCTTAAAAGAAAAAACAAAGCTATAAAATAAATAGAATTTTTAATTCTAACCAATATCTTAAAGAAAAATAATATATTTTTATATTTGAACAATATCTTAGATATTTGAAATTAAAAATTTGAATTATTTTCACAATAATAGAATTTGTTGGGGTTACAAACAAAAATTCCACAACATTGGATCACGAGAAGAAATAAAAATTTATAAAACACATATAGTCTCCATTGATATTAGATCTTTTAGGAGATGATAAAAAGTAAAATCATGAGGATTTAAGTTCAAAATAGATAATATCATGTAAATAAAGAGAGATGTGCGTGTGTAAATGCCAGGTTCCCAATATATTGATATCTATAACTTTTTTTATAAAAAAAAATACATGTTATATATTAAATTTCAATAATTTAACCGTTAAATTAAAAATTCTTATGTATAGATCAAATTTACAACTATTTAATATTTCATTTCATTAATCCAAATTAACAAATATACATAAAAAATTTGTGTTATTTTGAATCTATATAACGAAATTTTATATGATTTTCAAATTTTGTAAAAATTTGTATGCTGATCTATACATTAATTAATAATTTATACTTTAGTAGTTGAATTGTTAAAATTGAATGTAGAATTTTAAGTTATTGAATAAAATAAGTTTACGAAGACTTGCTCTTGTAGTAAGTACTATGAAATTGAACAATAAAGTTAATGAAATCTTAGGTGAAGTTTATAATCAAAATGTCATCATTAAGCTAATTGATTAATTGTAAGCATGTTGTTGATAGTTGTTTGGCTATTTCTTCAAATATTTCGAAGCTTGGACAAATTATTTGTATTTGTAAAGAAAAGAGCTACATTACTTTAAAAAGAAAAGTAAGGTGCGTATTATTGGAAAGCAAACTAATCAAGTTGTTCATGCTCTTACAAAGGTGTGAATATTTCATTCTAACTCCCATATTTTTTTTTTAATTTATTCCTACCTATAGTAACAATCTTATTCTAAATGAAACGATATAATTTATTTTTGATAAAATAAAAAAAAGGAACAATGCTAGTGAAAACATTTGCTTATATATAAATCAATAACAATATTTAAATTAAGATTGAAAATAATAAACTATTGTGATTCAAACATTATTATAAAAACCTCATAAGACCACTAATAACATTGTCATCATTGTCATTATCAATTTATCATCATGATTCCTATCACTATTGTCATAACTATCACTCACACCATTGTCGTCTCCACATGGTGATGACAATAGTGTAGGCGATAATTGTGATGACATTAACAACTACTTCACTTTTGTTATTGTCATCACCATTATTATTATCACAACAAACATCATCCTTACCACCACCTCTATCGCATGGTGGCAACACTATGGGGGCAATGACTATGACAACCATAACAACCACTATAACTGTTATAATTATTTCCCCTTTCATCATAATTGTCACATTGCGATGGCAACACGAGGGACAATGATTATGACCGGGATAGAAACCACCCACATTGTTGCTATTACCTTTACAATTGTTATCACTCTTATCATCACTAAAATCATTGTTACTAACTATTTTTGTTGTCACATAATAATTGTGATGATAATAGTAATAATAACGACAATAATAACGATAATAATAGTGATTGTCACCATCACTCTCAATGTTGTCACTGTTATATGACTATGACAACCAAAGAATTATTATTCGTGACAATATTAATAAAAATATTGTGACAATAATAATATTGATAGAAATGACGATAGTAAAAATAACATTAGCAGTCTAATAAAAAATGATTATAATAGTATTTTAATCACAATAATATATTATTTTGAGAAATTCTATGGTACCCATCTTATTTGAGAGGGTACTGGCACAATTTTTATATTTTATATTTTTAATAATTTATTTAAATAATATTTATGATATTTTATTCTTTCAATTTTTAAATTATTTAGTCATTTTATTTTTATTTTATATATTCTAATTTATTTGTAATAATATTATTATATATTTAAATAGTTTAATTTTAATAATTTTTTAAGTATATTTTTATCTTTTCACTTAAAATTTTTGAATTTCTATATTTTAATTTTAATAACTTTTTAAGTATATTTTTTGTCTTTTTGTCTTAAATTTTTGAATTTCTATATTATAATTTTAATAACTTTTTATTTCTACTATTTATTAATTTTTTTCTTTTTCTTTAATATTTTATAATATTATTGAAAACTTATAATTTTAATTTCTATAATTTTATTTTACTTTTTATTTTATAAGTATAATTTAGATTATTTATTTTTATAATTTTAATCTCTATAATTTATCTTACTTTTTATTTTATAAGTATAATTTAAATTATTTATTTTATAATTAAATTAATTTTTTTTAAAAATCTTTTATAAGTTTACATAAAAAAAATGTATTGAAACTCTTCGATCTTTGAAAGCACAGTATCAACTCCCTATTATTTTTAATTTTAGAGATCCTATTTGTTGTTTTCGTGCAAGCAAATGTTTTATTAGAAGTTACTAAACAGTAAACACGGACCAACGTAGGGGAGGAAATTAATTTCACAAAGTCATTCATCGAAGTCATGAAGGCTATTTGTCCCGTCACTCCCAACCTATTAACCACAATGACGCTCCCATTCACACGAGCCAGAAACTACCTTGTACCCCCACAGGGGAGAAACAATAGTTATGAGGACAAATTTTACTGTGTTCTAGTTACACGACTTGAAAAATATTCATTGTTTTGAATTTTATTAAAAATAATTATAAAAAAATACTATCTTATGACTAATAACAAATTAAAAAATGAATTAAAAGTTTAGGAGTGTGAACGTACGTGTATGATAAGATTATTCCTAAAATTAAATATTGTATAATTTATGCATCATTAATAATATAATTTCTATATGATCATTTGATTATAATTTACCATATATGATAAATTTATTAATTTTTATAATATTTACTTTCTAAGTTGTATCTATCGTAATTTTTAATTGATTAATAATATATATAAAATAATAGTACTATTTTGACAATACATATAAACTGATACATCTATCTGGTGCCTTTAAAATACTGAATTTGGTAATATTTTACTACTATAACAGAACGAATTGAGGTGAGTCTTGGTCATCGTCCTTGGTAATTATTTCCAAGGAAAACACTAGGTAGCTATGAGGTTGTTTGACATATTCTTTGGTTGTGATTTTATGTCCCTCGGGAAACAAATACTTTTATATATGGATTTGAAGCAGCAATTGCTTTGGCTTGCACGCTGTGGTCTGGTCGACTTGGCTCCTCAAAACACACAGATTCTGTGACTTCTGTTCTGTCGGTGTCTCCAATACTGCTTGCATGCAAATGTTGACTGTTCCATCTATCATGTCTGCTTCCTTCCTCACAACACTCAAACAACCTATCACTTCACATTTTTCCAATTCACAATTATATATGGCACATGCCCAACGATATTCTTAATTCATCTCTGGCCAATAATTTATTTAAGTGATACATGCATATATTGATTCCCTCTAAATTAAATTCATACAAGACAATTTGACTCCCGTTAAGCTAACTATTAGGTTTGATTTTTTATGTATGAACAAGCTAGAAAACTCTGCTGGAAGTGATAGTCATATTATGTTGTGGATGTTGCTAGAAATTGGTTGTAGCCTTGTAGGGTTAGTGTAAAAAGTAAGCTCATGAAGTGAAATTTGTACTTCTTCCCGCTAATATACATTATTTTAGCTACATTACTTGTTACTATTAAATCATTAACACACTCTTTTTACACTCGGAGAACTCGACTTGTCAAATGTGTTATTTGAAAGATTAAAAATTTGTGATCCAATCAATAACATGATGGGTTTGATATCAATAAATAAAATAAATTTTAATACTATTTTAGCATTTAGGTTTAGGTTTCACTTAACTTAAAAACTAGCTTAAATATCATATTTCCAACCAAGTGTTTTTTATTCTAACAGAATTACCATTAGTAGATACCTGTTCTAACAACAAAAAGAATTATAATCAAAATTTAATTGAATGGGCTTTAAAAATACATTTTATGTTAAATTTATATCTTTAATATATATAACTTAAGCTCATCGTAAGTTGTAATCTTGGGAACGTAGGGTTGGGTGTGCGCTAGTTTGGAAGAAACAAAATCGTGATTCTGTAGCTTCTAGTTGCACAAGAAAAACTTATTATGGGTAATTATAAGTGTT